GTTGAACCAGTTGAAGCTTTTGGACAGTCTTCAAAGGCAACCCCACGTAGAGAGCGTTGCAGTAGTCTATATGGGATGTAATGAGAGCGTGTACTACCGTGGTCAAGTCAGACTTCCCAAGGTACGGGTGCAGCTGGCGCACAAGCTTTAATTGTGCGAACGCTCCCCTGGTCACCGCCGAGACCTGGGGTTTCAGGCTCAGCGATGAATCCAAGATCACTCCCAAGCTGCGAACCTGCGTCTTCAGGGAGAGTGTAACCCCGTCCAACACAGGCTGTAACCCTATGCCCTGTTCGGCCTTTCGACTGACCAGGAGTACCTCTGTCTTGTCTGGATTCAATTTCAATTTGTTAGACCTCATCCAGATCGTCACAGCAGCCAAACACCGGTTTAGGACCTGAACAGCCTCCTTAGTAGAGGTGGGAAGGAGTGACAGAGTTGGACGTCATCCGCGTACAGATGGCACCATACCCCAAAACTCCAGAAGATCTTCCCCAGCGGCTTCATGTATATGTTGAACACCATGGGGGATAGTATGGAACCCTGAGGAACTCCACAAGACAACGGTTGTGGAGTTGAGCAGGTGTCCCCCAGTAACACCATCTGGGTACGACCCTCCAGAAAGGACCGGAGCCACTGAAAAACAGTGCCTCCCAGGCCCATTCCAGCGAGGCCTCCCAGAAGGATACCGTGGATTCCAGACTCAGTTATGAATCCAAGCTGCAACCCTGTGCCTTCAAGGGGAGTGTAACTCCATCCAGCACAGGTTGTGACCCTATACCCTGTTCATATTTGGACATATGGAATATTTGTGCCAAGTTTGGTCCAGATGTGAGTAGATCAATAGGTACCGCTTCGGCAGGATGGTAACAGCGCTCCATGCAGTCATGCTGGCCACATGACCTTGGAGGTGTCTACGGACAACGCTGACTCTTCGGCTTAGAAATGGAGAGAGAGTGTGCGAGGATGGAGGGAGGCTCATGCCAGCGAGTCCCTTCAAGGCATTGGGTTCTGTGCAGGAAGTTTGGCCCAATTCTATCATTCGGCCTTGCGACTGACCAGGAGGACCTCTTTCTTGTCTGGATTCAACTTCAATTTGCTTGCCCTCATCCAGACCGTCACAGCAGCCAAGCACCTCTTCAGGACTTAGATAGCCTCCTTAGCATCTGGTGGAAAGGAGTGATAGAGTTGGGTGTTGTGTTGATATGGTGATCCTATGAATGAGGGACCTCCAAGTGTCCCCATTACACTTTGTTGTTTATTCGTTCAGTCACTTCCGACTCTTTGTGACCTCTTTGACCACCCACACCAGAGCTCCCTGTCGGAGGAAACACATAGAATCTAGGATGAAAGCCATGCTTCTGCTTCTGCTGCTTATTCTATTGAAACCTTGCACATCCAATTTCAAAACTCCATTTCCAGCTCATCTTCAGGTGCAGCACAAGGTACCACTGCCCTACACAAAAGCAACGGAAGGAAGGGAATTGAAGCACCTCATTATTTATTTAAAAGATGGAAGCCAGAATGGATTTTCTTTTCCTCGAGATATATTTCAGTCTCTTTGGTTATGGCATTCACTTGGGAGGACACAAAAAGAAAGGCTACTCCAATCTTATTCCATACTGCCTGCAAATGATCCTTCCGCTGAAGACCTCTCTCCTAGTCTCACAACAGCTAAATGCTCTTTAGATGGAAGAAGAGTGCTACTAAATTTAAGCCTTTCAAAAAGCCAAGAAGGAAGATACTCTGCCTCCATCAATTATAAAAGCTGTGGCTATGATATATTTTTAGGAGGGAGGTTTCAGACTTGGATGAGAAATAAGAGAGAAAGTAGACCATGGTAGCACAGCGCGTTAAACCCATAGCTGCAGAAAAGCTGCTAACCAGAAGGTTGGCAATTCAAAGCCACAAGTCAGGTGAGCTCTTGACTGTCAGTCCTAGCACCTGCTGACCCAGGAGTTCGAAAGCATGCGATGCGAGTAAATCAATAAGTACCGCCTTGGCGGGAAGGTAAAAGGGTGCCCCGTGCAGATATGCAGACATGCCAGCAACACAATTGGAGATGTCCATGGACAACAGGCTCCTCAGCATAGAAAAACTGAGCAATAGCACCTCCCCATGGCCAGAGTTGAGCATTGCCTCCAGATGCCGGAGATGGAAAAAGGAGAAGCCCTTTACCTTTGTCTGTGTTGTATGTCAACCTGTTCAGCCTGTGATTGTGCCTGATGTACATGTTGATGTTCATTATGGGAATGGGAATGATGTTCCTGATGAGGGTTTGCTTGGGTCTGAGTTGAGTTCAGAAGAGAGGCCTGAGCTATCTCAGAAACATTCACAAGGCCACAATCTTGAGAGAGGCCCTTCGCTGCTTTTCTCAGAAAAACTGTGTGACGATGATTTGTCAGGTGCAGGAGTTAATAAGGGATAAGATAATGAAAGCTTGGACAGAAAGCAGAGTTTTAGTAAACAGAGGCAAAGTCTTTAGAGACTGAGGTGATCTATTTGGCTACGACAAAAGAGAGATAACAAACCTTTATCTAGTCAGACAGTCAAGAAGAATGCTTTCCTTTCAGTTTTGGGATCTGGGAAAGATTTATAATGATTCATGGGAGAGTGTTGCCTCAGTCGGGTCAACGTTGTTATTTTATCACGGTATGGCTTTCAAGTGCTCTGAGTTTCATGTACCAAGTTTTTGCCAAGCTCAAGATTTGTCTATGAGATTTTCCTGCTGTCTTGTTTTGTGGATTCATGTGCCCAGGTTCATGGATTTTTATGTACTCATGAATCTTGTTTTCCTTTGAAGCTTATGAACTATTTCTCATATTGGACCTGCACTGTTTTTGCCTTTTTTTTTTACTGCTTTGCCTACGTATAATCTTCAATAAACTGCTTGCTGATTTTACCAAGTTGGTGTGGTGTTTAAGGTCAGAGGTGTTCCTGCTTTGGTGTATGTCGTTGTTCACTGTGTGCATAAAAAGGCATTGAACGTTTACATCATATGTGTATTGTAATCCGCTCTGAGTCCCTCCGGGAATACAAAACTAAATATAAATAAAGTATATCATTATATTATTATTTGACAGCATATTTGCCACTGTTTAAAAAATAATACAATGCTCGTTTTGTGAGACTAAAAGGCCCAGGTAGGATTGTGTCTAGTTTTCTAGATCAGAAGATAATTTAACTAAAAGATGCCTGAAAGTTGCCTCAGTCGAGTCAACGTTGTTATTTTATCACGGTCTGGCTTTCTTGTTTTGTGTGACTAAAAAGCCCAGGTAGGATTGTCTCTAGCTTTCTAGATCAGAAGATAATTTAACTAAAAGATGCCTGAAAGTTGCCTCAGTCGAGTCAACGTTGTTATTTTATCATGGTCTGGCTTTCTTGTTTTGTGTGACTAAAACGCCCAGGTAGGATTGTGCCCTGCTTTCTGGATCAGAAGATAATTTAACTAAAAGATGCCTAAAAGTTGGGGTCAACATTGTTATTTTATCACAGTCTTGCTTTCAAGTGCTCTGAGTTTCATGTACCAAGTTTTTGCAAAGATTTATCTAGAAACATCCAAAACATAATCGAAACATAAATTATACAGAAGGATATATCTCTGATCAGCCTGTTGCCAGGATTTAAATTCGGGGGGGGGGGGGGGGGGGGGGGGGGGGGGGGGGGGGGCTTGAGTGGTGTTTCGAGGGGGGGCTGAGTCTGAGTGAAAGAGGGTCTGCCCTAGCAAACCTTTTGTATCGTTACCCCAATACCCCCATTGCATATGGGATATATTGAGCATGGTGATCAGATCATGATATGAATAAACGTAACAGCTTAAATAATGTACCAGTAAGGCCTTCTCGCGGACCACCATGAAAATTTGGGGGGGGGGGGGGGGGGGGTGAAGCCCCCCCCCTAAGCCCCCCCCCCCCCCCCCAGCTACATGCCTGTCTCTGATCCACCAAAGCTGGGAAATGAGAAGTTTGTCTGCATGCTAAATTTCCCTTGCTCGATGGGGCAACTATGTGTATTTATTGTGAATAATGCACCGGGATTGTGGCACAGCTGGCAGAGTGTCAGCTGCATTAAGATCACTCTGACCAAAAGGTCTTGAGTTCGAAGCTAGCCTGGGTTGGAGTGGGTTTCCAACCAATTGTGTAGCCTGTTGTCAACCTTTGCAACCCAAAAGACAGTTGCATCTGTCAAGTAGGAAAGTAAGGTACCACCTTAAAGTGTGGGGAGGCTAAATTAACTGATTTATGAGGCCATAAAGAAGACTCCAGCAAAGCATTCCAGCGGGGAAGCATGCGGGGAATGCGGAAGTGCTTCATCAGCGTCGCAGATGGACGATGAAAGCGACAGCTCCCCTGGCGGCCAGAAAAAGTTAAATAGCCTCTGTGTATGTCTGTATATGTTTGTATGTCAAAAATTGGCATGGAATGTTTGCCATATATGTGTACACTGTAATCCGCCCTGAGTCCCCTGCGGGGTGAGGAGAAGGGTGGAATAGAAAAGCTGTAAATAAATACATAAATAAATAAATAATAAACATGAAAACATTATGCTCTCACCAACATGAAAGCATTGCGATGACCTTTCCCCGAGCTGGCTTCTCTTTTGCCGCCTTGTTTTCCCCCTTTATTCTTACTTCTTGTTTTCGCCCCTGTCTTTTTTTCTTCGTTTTTCCTTTCTCTTTCGTTTTCCACTTTCTTTTTTTTTGTATTTCTATTTTGTATTTCGCTCTGCTTTCTTTCTTTCTTTCTTTCTTTCTTTCTTTCTTTCTTTCTTTCTTTCTTTCTTTCTTTCTTTCTTTCTTTCTTTCTAGACAGACCAATATGACAGCATCCTAAGCTCTGCATTTCTGGAGCAGTCATCTGTCTTTTGCCACTTGCAGGAAAACTATGGAGAAAGGTCAAAGAGGGAAAATATAAATCATGTCAGCAAAAATGATTTTGCCAGAAGGTTCAGGGTCAATAGGATTCCTTTTTCTTCAAAAAGTGATTTATATCAGATCTTTTTCAAGATACATTGAGTTCAATAATGCGGGAAAGGTAGTTCTCTTGCTATAAACAGCATATGGAAATATCGTTTTATGTAGCCATGAAGGAATTGAGTTATAGAAGAGGATTATAGATCAATAAAGACGTTGCCTTCCATATTC